TATTACCCCCACTAGTTCCATTATTTCTAATAGTAGGCAGGACACTACCCCCCCCCCCCCCCCCCACTATTTCTTAATTTAAAATGGAAGTTTCTTGGCATTAATGGATTTCACAACAACATGAGTATTTCGTTTCATAGGAACTATGTGTTTTTTATTGTTAACAACATAAAACACACTCATATGCTCTTCTAGTTATCATGCTACACTGATTTTCTAACGCTACCACATGCATGCCACATATCGAATAATCAGTGCAATCATAATGCAATTAGGCATTTCAAACCATTTCAAATAACTAGTCAGACAATCAGAGCACTCTAAAGACCAATAAATTGTTTATTGTCTTTTCCATAAAGTTTACCCACATAAATCAGATCTATTTATTCTGATTCTCTAATCACATATTTATGGGTCATTTAGCTTGGATATAGAAAATTCATATTTTTCTCAAACATCCAATAATAATATGGGAATGCGATATAAGATATTCTAATTCTTCACACAGACACACTTGGAAGAATTTATCTTATCTATTTAACATTCCTTACATCTAGGATCGTCAATGACTTTCTAGATGCATGGTTCTCTTCCACTTTTCCAGAACCATCAACAATAGTGGTGAGGGTCTTGCCCAACAACACTTTCTCCTTCAATACGCGTCAATGTATGATTGAGCTTAGCTCGTTTATCATACACATATTTTGAAACGGTCCTATCCAACAACCATTCTTCAGAGTTACCATTAAGGCTAACCTCTGTCATCACCTCAGTGAATATTATTACCAAATCCTCTTCTTTAGTCAAGTTAACACTAGGTTAAACTTGTTCTTACACTTTCGTGTCTTATGACCTAGTTTCTCACAAATTTAACAGAGAAACATAACGTCATTCTTAGAGGATTGGGTGACAATCTTATGGTTACCACAAAGGGTACCATTCTATTTGGTATGGATCTGGTTCGGCTTGCTGCTCTCATTCTTGAAACTTTAATGTTTCAGAGCAGCCTAAGTGGTTCGTGTAGTACTAATAATAGTACTTCTTACAATATCGTTATTATGGGCAATAAACCCATTCTATTCCCATATATGCTTCAATGCACATATTTAGACAAAATCATTCTTTCCATAGCATGATTCAATTTATGCTCTAATCATCGAGATACGTAATATCTCGATGTCAACTTATCATGCATCAATTCAAACTTTCATTCTAGCATTCATAAGATTCTCAATTTCATGCTTAGAATCATGTAACAAAAATTCGTATTTGTCATTCATGAGAAAGGTTGCAGTTCTGACCTCTTGTAAAGATACTATTGCTTTCTGATTTTGTATGAATAGCTAGCACCATGCTTAGCTTCTTTGTTCCTCACCAGGGCGCCTTCGAAGTCAGCACATAAGATGGCGCTCCTCCCTGTTTTACGGTCGTCAATTATGACTTCCAATTCTACCGGTGCACGGTGAAGCTTTGAAAGTCTTGACCAATCGATACATGCACAGCTGCGACAGCAGCAGCATTGATGGAAATTGAATGTGGCCACTAAATTGAACGGGCCGGCAGAACTTCCAGTTCTCCTCTTCCTGGTGCAACTTGGACCATGAAATTACTTGAACCGGGGGTTTTTTACTCGCCCCGGGATGGAATTGAAGGGCTGTCATTATTCATTCTCTTGTGAAGGCCAAAAGCTCAAACCAAACTTGTTAGTGTACGCCATTTTAAACAAATACGACACCCACATGAATAGCAAAAGAAAGATAATAAAATAAATTAAATTTCCCTTTGACCATGAGTATTGTGCCGCCGTTAGGGTTAAAGCCAACGCCTTGACTATTTCAATAAGCAACCCTTCTTAATTTGATTGAATCAACTCCTTGTTGCTTCGTGTTCCCGGCCAAGGCGAAGTCTCGATCTGGACTCTGGTGTGTGCAGTCCCTCTCCATCTCGATCTGCTTGGTATTCTCTTCCCATCGCCATTATCGTAGAGCCGATGATTACCAGTCAGCCATTCGGACATAACCATAATTCCCTCGGACGTTAGAATTAGATTGATGATGATTGCTTCCATCAATTTCTTGCACCGCACCACCTCTTTCACATGCTTTTCGTGGCCTTCGAGTTTCTATTCCAAATCGGCTGCTCCTGCAATTGAATGAAGACTACAAAACCGCTTCCCGGGTAATTATCAGTGCGGGACCACTCAACAAAGAACATAAAGGATAAATCAAAGGCAAAATCATAAATCACATAACCGGCAGAACCACAATTCCCTCGATTTCACAACCAACTTCAGTTGATCGACTCCCAGCAGTGGGCTAGGTTCGGAAATATAAGCATTTTTGCCTGTTCCTTGTAAGCGACTTCGTGGAGGACACAAGATCATCAAGAATAATCGCGATGCACGACAACCACAAACCAGTTGTTCCGATCGATTGGCACGACGATAGTAGTCCAGTCAGAATCGACATCCTATTTGAATCACATGACAGCAACCGAACGTCTTAAAATTGTTAGAAATCAAACAGGAAAATTCAGGGTTACCGATCTGGCTGAGTCGCGGACTAGGTCGCTCTCTTTAAGACGTTCGCGGCACTGCCTCGTTATTCGCACAGCAGACTATCAGCCGGTCGCCTCCAGGATAAAACAGCCACTCTTTTGATTTGCTCAGCGGCTTTGTGCGGAAAACCGGAGCTCTTTGAATCTCACTCTCTCTCTCGTGTTTTTGCTCTCGGAGGTGTGTTTAGAGGGTCTTGGGCGTCTCCTATTTATAGGAGCAGAAAACCCAGAATATTCCCACTTTGTTTGGGAATAAGTCATATTTTAATTAGGGAGATAATTACTCCCATAATTAAAATATAATCTATTAAGATAATTATTTATAATTATCTCCATAATATTTCTTTTATTAATTATCCATCTGATTTATGTATTATGGGAAAATACTGGATAATTAATTAGGAATTTCATTTATAGTTTTTCAAAGCTATTCATCCCAACAACTTGCCTCACCGAGTTAGAGACTCTCTGATGTCGAGTTAGTTTGAATGGTTTTGGATTGAATTGTGGAGGGAATCATATGTAAGGAGTTATTTCGAAAGAGAAGAGGAAGGATCTCTTTCCAATTTGGCAAAGGGGGAAGGTTACTTCATATTTTTGTTTATTCTTTAATTTATTTTATGAAAATAATAATTATATAAATGGATAAATATTCATGTGGAACAATTAAATGGTTGATTTTTTGTCATGTCACCAATCAACTTCCAACTCAGTCATAAAATTGCTAAATCATAGTCAATTAACAGTTGACAAAACGTAAAGTTGAAGATTTAACTATTGTATTGTTTTGAAAAAATTGGCTAGGGGAATTCTATAGTACAGTGCCTGTACTAATGCCTTCACTTTTCTACCGATTATAGCCGGTCTTTTGCTTCCCTTCCTGGCCAAGTGATACGGATACAAAAAAAATATACTCATTTTTCTTTAGATAAAAATCATGTTTTTTTTTACTTTTGTTCCATTATTTTTTCTCAAATTAGACCCCATAAAAAAATGCATATTTTGGTGAGGAACCGAAAAGTTAAATATGATTAAGTTTTAAAATATTTTTACCATGTATTAAAAATTTTTAAGTTTATATTATCAATAGCGGAGCTAAAAATTTAAACGTAAGCTAAAAATATAATTTAACATATTTGGACCGTGTTAACTTGGAGAGGCGGTAATATTTTACTAATTACTTTGAAATTAGTTTAATTGTTAGGTTTTTAAAATAATTAGAGATAGGGAATGTCATTTTACTATTACACATTGTTCAAAATCGAACAACAAATGAGTTTAGCTCAACAGAAGTTAAGTTTATTAATAATAATAGTGTTCTAGATTTGAATTATCCAACCTACCACTTATATTCCTATACACAAATGACAATAGGATAATCATTTTTTCAAATTTAAGGGGTGTCCCTCACTATCAATTATATTTTTTTGTCCATACGTAAATTACCACCGGGGGTTGGATAATCGTTTTCCCAAAATTTAGGGGTGTCCGGGGACACCCCTAAACCACCCTGGGTCCGCCCCTGCCTGAATCAGTGTGGATAAGAGACTTATCAATCCGCAATCCATCCACATCAATCACAGACTCACTGCGCGGATTCTTGCTCCTCAACCGTGGTTTCTTCGTCATCTACTTCTCCTCCGCCACCTCTGCCTCCGCCGCCGCCGCTTACATCCTTGCTTTGCTCGACTTTAGGCTTCTTCAGAATCGGAATGATCGCGCTCATTTTTCAATCTCTTTTGCAGGAATCGACAGAGAATCACTCCCGTTGACGTCGGCGACCACACCGCTGGAGACAAGAAGCGTTCGGAAACTACTATTCTGAGGCAGGGGCAATTGAAGCCTGAAGGAAGGGAACGAATGGGAAGTGGCAAAAACCAATTGGAACTGAGAGTCCAAACAATACTTCTATAGGGAATCAATCGCCCATTCGCTAGTTTTGCTTTGTGCATTTTGGACATTTACTAGGGTTTTGCAAAATGGAGTATGTTCCATAAATAATTAATAAATAAATAAAGGGTAGTGGCTCAACCGGTTGGGCTAGGGTGCAAACATTTTTTTTTTTTCCTAATACCAGAAAAAGGCCCATAGTTTAGGGTTTAGGTCACTTGTACCCCTATGTTTATATCGCGTCACTTATGTCCCCAGGTTTAGTCTCCGTTTACTTTGACTGTTAGTGGTCAAACGGTCAACTATTGACCGATGATGTGTCACATGACATGGACTATTTTTACCACATCACTTATATAAAATAAAATAACATATTTTTACAAAGAAATAAAAAAAATTCCAAAAAATCACATCACACGGAATTCAACTCTCCCTTCTCTCTTTGTCTCCTCGCATCCTAGTCGCCTCCGGCCATTTTCACCCCACCGCCTCTAGCTTTTGGAGAGTTGCAGGGGATGAGCGGATTGCCCACTTCTCTAGCTCGCTTCTTTTGGAGAGTTGTCATCGCCTTTAGCCGCCTCCACCTGCTTCTTCGTTTCATCGTCGAATAAGAAAGATCAACGACCAATGGATCTGAAATCGTCCAGCTCTGCATCCCTAGCCGCTGTCAAGTACCGGAATAAAAAGTGGACGAAGCAGCCGGAGACAAAGGTGCCGCTCCAGTCAACTCCGGCGACTCTTTGAAGTTGAGCATGAGATCTGGGCATGTCGGAGAAGCAACCGCTATCTCTATCGCGACCTTACTCCGTCGAAAATCCCAGATCGAGAAAATGAAGAGCCAAATAACTGGGAGAGCGAAAGAAATTAAAGACGATGGAGAAGAAGAAAAAAGATTGGTAGAGATGATTTGGTGTCGTCGACGAGGTTGCATCGGGACGCGGAAAGGAATGGGTGGACGACGCTGTGGGTTGCGATTTGGGTCGTCGGGATGGGGAAAGGGGATTGGGGATCGTCGGCGTCATTGGAAGATATTGATCGGCGATTTGAGAGGGAGCGAGCAGTTGGGATTGATCGGCGAGAGGGTGACGATGGCGCTGCACGGTTTGTGAATGACAGAAAGAGTAGGAAGATGAGGGGATTTTTTTTTATTAATTGAAAATAATTAAACTACAATAAAAATAAATGCATTATCATAATTTTAAATTATAATTTTTGATGATGTGGCAGTTTCTAGGTGACATGTTGGCGCCACATCATAGTTAGTCAAACTGACTTTGACAGTTATTTGGTCAACCGTTAAGTTTAACGGTCAACAAAATGACAGAGGACATTTTTTACATGAAGACTCTAAACATTGGGATATAACTGACGCAAGATAAACATAAGGGTACAAATGACAGAAAGTCTAAACTATGGGCTCTTTTCTGGTATTAGGCCTTTTTTGTATCAGAACCTGCGTTTCAGCTTTATTGAGAAAATCAATCTTACATTATCCCTTACAAACTTATCTAACAGATTTAACGGTGGCCTATCAAACCAAACATTCGTTCTATCCCATCTCTGTACTAGCATATTGCACACATTAAATGAGGAAGGGAAATCCTCCCCAGAAATCAGAGAATCTTATTACTTCAACGTGGAAAAGGGAGAAGGGGAAGGGAGAATCTTCTTATGGATGATCAGGATTTGAATGTGGATTCACTTTGTTAAAGGCTTGAAGTCGTACTGAATTTCATAGTCAGGATAGTTATTGCATTTGCTTTTGTGGTTAATGAAATGTTTGGAATGGAAATCAACTTGGGTGTGCCAGTGTTAGGATATTTTCGTTTTTTGTATTATAGATGTCATAGATGTTGGGGTGTGTCCAAATTTGAAACCAGAAGTCTAGAACTCAAAAGGTTTCATGTTGAACCGAGGAAAATATATCACTACATCAAAATGAAAGGTTTCATAGTGGTATCCATGGTTAGTACTTAGTAGTCCCTGTGCGAGATAGGTGTGCTACTGCTACGGGTTAACTCTTTCACATTTTGGCTGAAAATGAGAATGTTTACACTTAAAAATTAATCTCATACCATATCGATTAATTACAAGGTATTTAATGGATTTATAAGCCAGCTCAACATTAATAATTAAAAGAGCTAGTTGAGCCTTGTTGGGTTGGGTTTTTGGGCCTAGGTGGGCTAACTCCTTCTTCCATATACAATGGCCTACCCGTCTCCTTGGCCCCCATAGCCGAATGATGCCTCCACCCCTTGTTATGAAATTTTGGTCCCAAAAACTAAGGGCCCGTTTAGTATTGTTGTTTGTTTTTTGTTTCTGTTTTGTTTTATGAAATTTGGAAAACCAAGAAAAAAAATTGTGTTTAGTTGGGTTTTTATTTTCTGTTGTGAATCAGAGTTGCACAACAGGGCCCAAATATGAGAAACAACAATTTATTGCTTTGGATCTGATTCTTAAACATGTTGCACACGGGATTCCTACTGGTTGGCCACTTGATTTCATTAAACCAGACCAGTTTTCGAATCCCCACAGAAGCAAATTTTTATTTTATTTTTTTAACACAGCCCCCAACCCTACTTCAACTTATCAGCCCCCCCCCCCCCACCCAAAACCCTTCTCCCCCCAAACTCTTCTCAACAGAGGTCGGCCGCCACCCTTCTCAATAGAGGCGCCACCTCCGCCTCACCTCCACCGCGCCGCCCTCCGCCTCCGCGCCGACCTAGCCCGCCGTGCCCGACCCCTCCGCCACCTCCGCCGCGGCGCCGACCCAGCCCACCGAGCAGCACGAAACCTCCACGCGCAGCCCGCCGCCGACGTCTGCCCGTGCACCTTGCCGCCGTCGCCAGTCCCCCCTGCCGCCGCCGACCACTTCCCCTCCACAAAAAACAAGCAACAATATTGAGGACATATCTCTTTTTTCTGGTTTTTAGTTCTTATAGTAGTAACTAAACGCGTTTTTGTTTCTTGTTGTCAGCTTTCATGATTTTTCAGATTTATCAACTAAACAGGTTTTTGTTTTCTGTTTTTTTCCTGTTGTGGTTGTACATCTGTTTACACAACACCACTGCAACCACAACAACAACAAAATGATACTAAACGGGCCCTAAGTTTGGAAACAAGGTGGCACAAAGGGGTGCCAAACGACTGGGTACCAAATAGAGGGTCATCCAAAAACTAAGTCTGGAAACAAGGCGACACAACGGGATGCCAAACTACCGGGTACCATATAAGGGGGTCGATGATAGTGTATCAAGCCGGCAAGGTAGGGCTTGGTACCATGACATGGAATTTGGATAAGTATAGAGCCAAAGGGGTATCAAGCCGACAAGGCAGGCTTGATACCAAAATATATGAAAATTGGCTAAGTATGAAGCCAAAGGGGTACCAAGTCGGCAAAACAGGCTTGGTAGCCAGACAATAGAGTACCAAGCACTAAGAGGGTACCAGACATGACTGGTACCCAAGCATGAAATTTGGCTAAGTATAGAGCCAAGAGGGTATCAAGCTGGCAAGGCAGACCTGATATCCAAACATAAAAGTTGGCTAAGTCTTGAGCCAAAGGCTGGGGTGCCATACGACACAGTGTCATACCACCCATAGTAAGAGGGTACCAAGCCAGCAAGACAACTCTGGTACCAAGACGAAAGAGGCTTGGTAGGCTGAGGGTACCAAGCAGAGTAAGATTGACTGAGTACCAAGCCTGGCAGATTTTATTTCACGCGTAAAAATTACAATATTCACTTTACAAACCAGTATATATAGTTGTCACTAATATCCTAGTTACTACCTACATTATACAAGTTTACAGTTAACAATATAAACAACAAAATATCTACAACTATGTCCTCGCTTCCTTGATCTCGGACAAGTCCCCCCGCAAGCTGGTGAGTATATGTCCAAACGACCCAGCTATGCCTGCAAATGCTGAAACACATGTACTAAGAGAGACTTGGTAAAAATGCCAGCAAGCTGATTTGTAGAAGTTACATGCATTACTTTGATGATATTATTCAAAATCTGGTCCCTAAGACCAACTTTAGTGAAGGGCCAAAATTCCAAAGATTTATAACGAATGCACTTTAGTGTGGTTTAAAAGTCCAAATATTTGGATTAATCCAAATTTTGGTTCCAAATTTGAACCACAAAAAGACAAAGGGTTCTAAAATTGTGGGATCCAAAAGGCAGGGAACGAGTGATGCGCGCCAACAAGGGAGATGAGATGCACGCGTAGCCGGTGTAGGTTTCTTCTTGTGCGTGGCTGCCACTGCCGCCCATGCATGGGTTTAATTGGTAGCTCTCTTAATTTGTAAATTTTTAATTGCCTCTTCGTTCTCACTTCACCATATAAAAACAAGAACCTCAAACCTATTTAATTTGTACATGTTAATTGAACAAGAATGATTGTATTTTAGTTAATTAGGGATAAGCAAAAATTAACAAAAGTTGTGCTAATTAAGATGGGTAGGAAATTTAATGATGAAATTTTTATGTTCAAATTAAAATAAAAAATTATCGAAATGTTCGTCTTAATAAATTATTAGTACCTATCTAAAAATAATGAACAAATTTTATAATTAGAATAATAAAATCTACATTAACCGAAATATGAGTTAATGTCAAATTCTGAACTTTTGGACTTTTGGAACTCTGCACTAATGCAAAAACACTTTTTGAAGGGCTAGAATTAGAATTCTAGCCCCAAAATTTGAAACTTTAGAACCATGCATTAAAGATGGTCTAATAACATGACAATCTATTTCTATATGTTTGGTGCGTTCATGATTTACCGGATTATGAGCTAGTTTTATGGCAGACAAGCTATCACAAAAAATTGGAGTAGGTGCAGGAAGGGTTATATGCAGATCATGAAGAATGTATCTAAGCCATATCAATTCATAAGTTAAACTGGCCATTGCCCTATATTCTGCCTCAGCAGAGGATTGAGAAACAGTCTTCTGTTTCTTTGATCTCCAGCTGATCAGGGAATTACCCAGTAGAACACAAAACCCTGTGGTAGAGCGTCTTGTATCTGGACAACCCGCCCAGTCACTGTCACAAAAAGAATGTAGTTTAAGTTCAGATGCAGAGGTAAAGAGCAAACCTTGTCCAACTGTACCTTTAATGTAACAAAGTACTCGTTCGACTGCCTGCATATGTTGATCAGTAGGAGAATGTGTAAATTGGCTTAGCTGGTGGACAGCATAAGCTAAGTCAGGGCGAGTGTTACAAAGATAAAGTAACCTACCTACTAAATGTTTATAAACAGAAGGATCTGTGAGTTAAGTTCCAGACCTAGCTGAAAGCTTGGAACCAGGAACAGAAGGAGAATCACAGGGTTCTGCTCCAAAGAAACAATAGTCAGTTAAAAGATCTAATGCAAATTTCCTTTGATTTAGAAGAATGTCTTTGGAAGATCGAGCAATTTCCAAACCAAGAAAGAATTTTAGTTCACCTAGATCTTTGATGGTAAAGGCTTGATCAAGGCTAGTTTTGAGATTTTTAATGGCATTAAGATCATTACCTTCTAGGATAATATCATCAACGTAAACTAAGGAAATTGTAAAGGAGGATTCAACCTTTCGAACGAACATAGAATAATCTGCCTTGGATTGTTTATATCCTATTGAAGTGAGAAGGTGGAGAGTTTAATGCTCCACTGACGACTAGCTTGTTTTAAACAATATAATGACTTGTTTAGATGACACACTGGATTTTTAAAACCAGAGGGAACAGCTAAGCCATGAGTTATTTTCATATAAACCTCCTCATCAATGTCACCATGAAGAAAAGTTGTATTTACATCAAGTTGATGTAAATGCCAGTTGTTAATGGCGGTCAAAGAAAGAACAAGATGAACTGTTGTAAGTTTAACAACAAAAGCAAAAGTCTCTAAATAATCAAGACCAGGGGTTTGTGTATACCCTTTAGCCACTACACGTGACTTAAAATGTTCTAGAGAACCATCAACATGATATTTTATCTTAAAGACCCACATATGTCCTATGGGAATCTTTCCTGGAGGCAGTTCAACAATAGTCCAAGTTTTTTTTTTATCAAGAGAAGCCAGTTCAGCATTACAGGCATCCACCCATCTAGGATCCTTAATGGCCTCTTTGTAAGTCCTAGGTTCAACAATCATGGAGGTGGCAAGGATG